TGTATGAACATCAAGTTTTCATAGGATCATTCCAAACATTAAACCAGAACAGCGCTAGCATGCTTTAAACAAAAATGAATCGCAACATTGAACGATTAAGGTTTCTAGAATAAGCAGATCCCAACCGAAACCCACTAACAAACTTAGCATAGCCAACAAGGTTATACACATCGTGCTTGCAAACTCATGATACACATTCCACACAACAACAGTGCAACAATGTTCATTCTCAAATCCAATAACACACTTAGCATAGTCAACAAGTTACTACATCACAAAACAATTTTACCACATCTCCCAATACGACAAAATACTTTCATAAATGTACCAACATAAACTAAATGTCAAACCCTATATGTTTAATTAAGGAAATATAGAAAGGGGTTGTACCGGAAGATTGTCGAACAACAGTGGTGGTCAGCGGCGCTTCGGCGATCAGCGGCACCGTTCGTGGTTCTTGCTCGAAGCCGGCGCACCAGAGAGCTGCAGGGAGTCGTGCTACTACTCGACGTCGGCCGCTGCTAACGCCGTTGTTCTCGAATGTCGTGCTGCCGTGGACCGACGAAAGGAGAGCGAGGAGATGTTGCCGCCGAACCAAACACACCGCCGTGGGTACTGGCGTCGTTGCCGCTACAGTCTAAGGTCGCTTGAGGAGTACGTCGCTGGAGAAGAAGAAGACGAGGGTTGGGGGAGGGGCAGCTGGAGCAAAAGGAGAAGGGAGGAAGTAGAAGAAAGTATAAAGAGGGATTTAGTGGGTTTTGAGAACTGTTTACGAAGGGGAAAGCATGTAATTCTTTATATATTATTACAAAATAATTTTTAAATTCTAAAAAATGAATTTAAAAGATGTTTTAGTTAATTTTAACTTTTTCCTCTAGATTTTCTCTATATTTTGAAATTTACATACTCCAAACAAAATTTCATTTTTTTTTCAAGATTTGTAATATATAAGCATCCATTAAATCTTTTTGGATGGAAGGAAAAAAAATATGAAAATTTTGGGTATTAAAATATATAAGTAAAATTAAATAGTAAAAAAAATTGCAATTACTTGGCTCTCAATAGTTATATAATATTATGAGTGCAAAATTTCGAATAAATTCTAGGCTTTTAGACTTTTATGTTTTCTTAACTTAAATTCCAACAAATTAGCTTAAAATGTCTATAAGTTAATTTCTTTATTTTTTGTCTCCAGTTTTGTAATTTACAAATTTCGACAAAAATTTGTATTTGCAATCCATTGTATTGAAAATGTAACTATTATTTAAATCGTTTTGGATTGATGAAAAAAAACCATGGAAAACTGACTTCATCAAGAAAAATAACTCTTAGTGACATTTTACCAGACATCACGAATAAGCCTGGAATCTTCTTATCGTATCGTGACGATTCTAAAACGTCGCGAAAAATAATATTTCGTGACATTTTCTATGCGTCATGAAAAAGCCACCAATCCGAAAAACTCCGTCTTTTCCCCCCAAAAACACGCCTCAAGTATTTCGTAACGTTTTTTAAACATCACGTAAAATAAGTTTTGGGCAACTTATCGTGACGGAAAAAATTCGTCACCGAAAAACGACAATCCGGACCACTCCATCATTTCCCGCCAAAAACGCGCCTCAAGTTTTCCGTGACGGAAAAAAAGCGTCACGAAAGGCGAAATCCGGAACTCCCCACTTTTTCCCTTCAAAAAAGCGTTCTCTACCTTTCATGACGTATTTAAATAATGTTAAACAGTAATTACTGTTCAGTACCGTCACAAAATCCCAAAATTCTAGTAGTGACTTGTTAGCTCAATTGGCTTTGCGTGGAGAAGACAACCAAGTCAAATCGGAGGAATCACCTCTCTAAGTTACTGATGGGTTGAGAAATAAGTGTTTAGGTGATTTAATTTTCCTGTAAAAAAAACTATATTATTATTAGAATGGACCACAATAACAATAATAAAAATAGGAATAATGTATTTTGATATAAGTGATATATAATCATGAAGTAAATCAAATCATTTAATTCAATCAAATTAAAACTTGAATATTTCATATTTATTGTAAAATAAAAATACTTGCAAATATCTCCACTCAAATAAGAAAGATTAAAGTCAAAATGATTTCAAATCTAAAAACAAAAATCCGTTTGGTAACGTTTTCGCGCTCTAGTAACGTTCCCATTTGCTATTTTTTGTTGGTAACCAATCTTGTTTCTCATTTCCAAATTTTGAGAAACGTTTCCAAAAAAAAAACAAAAGACTAGATTTTGAGAACTACAAAGTGTAGTTTTTCCCGTTTCTGATTTTGATAAATATTAAATAGTGCGTTAAAAAGAGCTATAATTGGTCGGGTGTGCATTTTTTAAGTCTTGCCGTCTCCTAGGTTAGTGTTTCGATTTCTCACGGTATACAAATGTTTAATTTTACTTTTATAATTTCTATGTTTGCAATATTTTCTTTTATAATTTTTTTTAAAGAATCTATATTTTATAATATATATATTTTTTAATTTTTATAATTTATAATTTTTATAATTTCTATTTTTCTGATAAAATATTTTCTATTTTTAAATAAAAAAATATTTTGAAAATTTATTCTTTATTTAAAGCTAATAATTTAGACTTTTATATCAAACAAATTTATATGATAAACTATATGTCAATTATTATATTCTTCAAAGTATATTTTATATCTTTTTATATCATGTCTACCAAATTTTATTTTATCTAAAAATAAAAATAGGTGAACTTGAGTTAAGACATATATCTATGGTTAAAAGGTCGTGGGCCGAAGTCGAATCCTCACCCATATAAATTATTGTACTAAAAAAAATAAAAATAAAAATAAAAACAAGAAACAAGAAATAGTTATTAAATATATTTTTGTTTTTATTCATTTTTTCAAGAAACAAGAAACAGAAATGGCTACCAAACGTATTCCTATTTCTAGTTCTAAAAAAATTAAAAACAAGAAATAGGAAACGGGAACAGGAACAATAATGTTACCAAATGGGCTCTTCATTTCTCGTTTCATGTTTCATATTTTTGTTTTTATTTTTTTAGTACAACTTGCGGGAGTGGGATTCGAACCCACAACCTCTTGATCGAGAATTTATACCTTAACTAAAGTGAGCTTAGCTTATTTTTATTGTTAGTTAAAAACATTTATTAAATATAATATAAAAAGATATAACATATACTTTAAGAATATAATTTATTAAAGAAAATATAATTTATCATATAAAAAATTTGGCAAAGTTTAAATTATTAGCTTTAAATAAAGTATAAAATTTCAAAATATTTTAATTTGAAAAATAGAAAATTTTTTGTTTAATAAAAAAATAATAGATTTAAATATAGAACAAATTTTCAAATATTTAAATTAAAAATATAAAAAAGAAAAAAAGAAAAACAGATCTATAATTTATTAAAGAAAACGTAATTTACAATATAAATTTCTTTTGATATAAAATATAAATTATTAGTTTAAATAAAGAAAAAAAATTTAAAAATTTTAAATTTGAAAAATATAATTTTTTTTGTGTAATAAAGTATAATAGTTTTAAATAAAGAATAAATTTATTTTAAATTAGAAAATATAAAATAAAAACATTAGAATTTTGCGTATCATCAAACCTTGGACTTTGTAGAACATAATACAATTAAAATACATGTGTGAACCGCCAGGTCATTGTTTAATTCTACACAACTTTGACATAAAATATTTTATTCAACTTAAAGCAGTATTTGAATATAAAAATAAAGAAACAGAAATGAAAAAAACAAAACTATTTTTTTATAGTTTCCAAAAATTGGTCTTTTTTTTGGAAATTTGAGAAACCAAATTGGTTACCAAACATGTTTGTTTCTCGTAATGGAACACGAAACGGGAACGTTACTAAACAGACTCAAAATTACGTCAGACTTATATTCCAATTAAAATAAATTAATAAAAAAAGAACAAAAACAAGTAGACATTTGTTTTATTACAAGATTACATCCAAACATCTTGTGAATCCCAATGAAGAAAAAGGCTTGCAAAAGAAAAGGTGAGCACTCCGATACATAAGTTAGTAGAAGTCTCGACAGATCTAATCTCAAATATAAATCGAGATTTAGGCGTACCTGTAAATCAATTTTACCCTTAGCCTTTACGACCAGATATAATGGATGGATCTTGGACATCACTAGTTTTGATACCTGTAAAATCTCTCTTTGATTTTTATTTTTGTTTGTTTGTTTTTTTTTTTTTACATTTTTATTAGTTGAAGTATTGTCTTGTAATTCTCTTTTGCATGTTTTTTTGTTTTTATATTTTAGTATGACATTTATTTATGGTGATTCATTTTAATGGAGGCTTTTTCCTCTTTTTTGAATTAAAGAGGTAAAGTTTACTTTGTGTGTATATAAAAGAGGTAAAGTCTACAAGTTTTGTGTGTGCATATATATATACTTTTTAATTTCATTTTGCAATTATTAAGTTGATTTAGATTAAATAATTTCATTTTTACACATAGTTGTATTTCATATTAAACTATTATATTACTATTAGTACAGTATCATGTAAAATTATAAGATCATTATACTAAAATGCTATACTATATTTTTATTTTTATTTATCATGAAGATTCAAACAATAATTTTAATTTCAATGATTCAAAATTCATTTTAGCCTTATTATAATTAGAAATTTTAAATCATTTCCATTTTTTCAAATGTCAGTATTTGATATCAAAACAAAGCATAAAGATGTCAATTTATAGTTTAATCACCAAAAATTTAACATAACATAAATATAATTTATTCTCCAAATCCGCTAAAGATATTATATTTTAAAACTTCATAGATCAAGTCGACACGAAACTCAAATTGACCATTCAAATATTATGTATTTTATTTTTTTATTCAGACTTCCAATATTTTAGTGGAGATATATAACTTAATTGACTCATATAAAGTTGGCAACAGTCCAATTTTTTTGAACCTACAAGAAAAAAAATTGGTAAGAAGATAAAATTTTGATCCTTGCATATGTTTGTGAGGGCATTAGGGAATCCGGCGAGTGGGATCCGCATCTCTGACCCTCTGCTCTACACTCTACACTCGAATTCAAAAAGGAAGCGCGAAACTCTCATCTCTCTCTCTCTGTCTCTCTCTAGCTGCGTGCTTTTTTCTTGGAGTTTACCCACTGAGAAAACCCCATCCCCAAGTTGTCTAAAACCCCACTTTTCAAGTTTCAATCCCATTTAAATAAACCCCATTTCGTTTTTTGAAATTTTGAATTTCAATTCCAATAGTAAATTCGTAAACCCTCTTTGATTTCTGTGTCTTCTCTTCTCAACTCTCACTTTAAAGTCCTACTCTCGTTTGTTTTCCCAAATTCCCACTTGCATTCTTTGCTTTGTTTGTGTTTTTGTTTCTGCAAAATGAAGGGAATCGAAGATTGTTGTGTAATCTCTTCACCCACCGAAGAATTCGTGCGTTTATTGGGAACCAAGAAGAAGAACTGAATCTGGAGTGGCAAGAATAAAAGGGAGAAATGGAAAAGAGAGGAGGAGGAGGAGCAAGAAGAATATGCTACATATTCCTTGTCTGAGAGCTCTGGAAGGTTAGAAACTGCCCTTATTCCTCTGTTTCTCTTTTTTCTCAAAGAAGGGAATGAGAGATAGATCGTGCTCTCAATGATAGAGATGTTTCAGTGTCTCATTTTTTGAACAAGAAACGAGACTTTTCGTTGATAAAATGTAAAGTGTTGTCACTTTTAGTTTAAGTCTTTAGTAATAGAGAAGCATTTCTAAGATTCTGTTTGCATCCTCTTTGCAGATTAGGAATGGGACTTTTCGTGTTGAGAACTGTCTAATTAGTAGCATTTTTAAGGAAGGTAACATAAAAACATGATGAAGACACAAGGATATAGTAAAGGAAGAGCACCAACAAAGGTGACTGCACAACAATTAGTTTTTGAGTTAAAACAAAAAGTGGTTCTCGCACTAACCAAGCTTGCAGATCGAGACACTTACCAAATTGGGTTTGATGAGCTTGAAAAAACAGCTGAGTGCATAGCCCCAGATATGATTCCCCCTTTTCTATCCTGTATATTGGAAATAGATTCAGAACAGAAGAGTGCAGTTCGACAGGAATGCGTTCGGTTAATGGGCACGCTAGCCAAATTCCATGAAGGTCTTATTAGGCCTCACCTTCGTAGAATGGTCAGCAGCATTGTGAAGCGGCTCAAGGACCCTGATTCTGCTGTGAGGGATGCCTGTGTGGAAACATGTGGAATTTTAGCCTCGAAATTGATTAACGTTGGGGATGAGGGTGATGAGGTTTTTGTCACTCTGGTTAAACCCATTTTTGAAGCCTTGGGGGAACAGCATAAGCATATGCAGTCAGGTTCAGCATTTTGCTTGGCAAGGATTATTGACAACTCTCAGGATCCACCTGTCTCTATTTTGCAGCGGATGTTGGCAAGAACCACAAAGCTACTTAAGAACCCGCACTTTATGGCAAAGCCAGCTGTAATTGATTTAAACAGAAGTATTATCCAGGTAATTGTATTTTTCACATGTCATGAGTTTTTTTGACAATACGATCCCAAAATCTTGCTTCAAACTTCTTGTTTGTCTGTATGTCTAACCAATAAAAGGTGCTTCTAGGTTTTTAGAGTTTACCTTTCTGTATACTTCTTTTTACAAACAATATGTACTGCTCAAATTATATTATTATCATTAAGAGTGATTTCCAAGTGTTTGCATCATTTCTTTTTCCTGCTCTCATGTTATATCCTCAGGTGTAGACACACCCAAGCTTAGTTTTTGTTTTCACTTTAGCTTCTAAACAATGTAGAGAAAGGATTTAGCAACTTTCTGGTGCTTATTGTTGCATGTTAGTGGGGTTTTTTTTAAAAAAAAAATTATTTTTACTTTTAACATTCAATGTGAGTGTACCTTTATCCAATAATGTACAATAAAAAAAAAATCTGTGAGCACCTTAACCTACTATTTATGAATTATGATAGTATGGAAAATCAGCTATAGATTGGTCTTATGGTGCTTATAGCATCAAAATTATTTCACTTGGGCAATTTTTGTAAATCCCCTTCGTATCGTAAGAGGTTTAACGATTTATTTTTCCATTTGACTTTGTATTACAGGCTGGGGGTGCTTCAAATCGAAATATTCTCTCTGCTGCAATGCTTGGGATCCAAGAAGCTCTCAAGAATAGTGATTGGACCACTCGTAAAGCTGCTTCTGTTGCATTAGGTGACATTGCTGCAAGCTGTGGGTCCTTCCTGGGGTCTTTTAAGGCTTCCTGCATTCGCTCCCTTGAATCATGTCGATTTGACAAGGTTTATATAAATTGCGTACATGAATGCATTAAAAAAAATGAACCTGTATCCACTGTTTCACATAATTTTGCAATGGAGTCTTATGCTTGTTATGTTTTTGATAGGTGAAACCAGTTAGGGACATTGTACTCCAGACCCTTCAGTATTGGAATAACATTCAAGGGCCTGATACTCCCGAACCTTCAGAGGCTGGATCTTCGATCAAAGGTCTATTGGTCAATGCCTAATGCCAATATTTTTATAGAACTCCTAATACTGTGTTTGTAGTTCCTACACTGTCCTGGTATTTTAGTAGCCATTTGTCCACAGCTAGTATGTACAACATCTCATGGTTTGTGTTCTTTTCCTGAAGTTTATAGATATGAACTCCTTAAGGAATTGAAGATTGTCTCCCAACTCCCGTTGATCTTCAAACTGTAGAACACTCATTCAGTTTGATACAACTTTAGGTATGAGTTGTATCAAATTTAATGAGTGGTCTAGGGTTTGAATCTTCAATCGAATTCTCTAGGTAGTTCATATCATTTATCTATTAATTTTTAATTTTATATTTTATCAGACAGTCTTGACACGTATTTTGCTTGAATCAATCAAAACTTCTAGGGCTTTTCATTTTCCATTTCAGCTTGCACCTAATACGTTGAATGGTATTTCCCAAAGTTAAGTTCAAGTTATTGTTTGTGTTTCTTATGTTTTACTGTGATATTGGATATTTTATTCTATATTTTCCTTTTTGAATCAATATGTGGAGTTAGTTTTGATAAAATGTTTGGCAATATTAACAATTACTCTTTCTTGGTCTCATGTTTAGTATGACGAATTCGTGCTTTGTTTTACTCTTGTGCCTCTTGTTTCTCTATACGTTTGCTTCTTATTTACTTTTGTCTTGTGCCTTGTACAGAAAACCTTTGTGGTGGTGACTTCAGTGATGTTACTAGTTCCGTAGAACATGGAAAGAAGGTTGCTGCAATTAGGAAGGCAGGTAAGGGTTCTACCAGAGGCAGGATTCCACTAAACATGAGGAAAACATGTCAAAATTATTTGGAGAATACTCAGCATTTTAAGGCAAATGACTGTCATATTGAAATAGCTGTTCCACAAAACCGCAATCTGTCTTTATCAGGATTTCACACTGAAGAATCTGAAGGTAGTACTGTCACAAAGACATTTCAAGGAGTGAGTACTGATGCCACAGATATGCAAGATATCGAATATGACTATGTCAGAATGGATGACAAACAAGAATGTTCCTCTGTATCCAATTTTTTACCTGGGCAAGAATTTGTAACAGTTTCCCATGGAAGTCTTGAAGACAGTGGTATGCACAAGACAACAGATAGAAATAAGCGATTTGTCACTGAAGGGGCTGGTAGTGAGGGGCAAATATACTCGACAAAGGTGAAGGATCGTAGAAGTCTTGATTCCGTGGTCACAGAGTCTAGTTGCCAAATTGCACAAGAATGTGACTCAGAAATTGCAAATGACATGGTTTGCATTCGAAAGCATCTTTTAGAAATTGAAAACAAGCAATCAAACTTGATGGATTTATTCAAGGTTAGACTTTAAGGAAGCACTCAATACTTTATAAGTTGCTTGGCTTGCAGATAGAATATATGTGGTTCTGCTTTATGTTATCTTTTTATCTCAGGAACCTCTAGCTCTAACTACCAGGTTAAGTATGTCCAATGAAAATATCTCAATCTGAATGCCATCTGTAGTACCTTCGAAGTTGTAATAGTTACTAACTAGAAGGCATAAAATAGAAATCCTAAGCTTTAACTTTAGAAAAATGACATTTAGTTGTCCTTCCTACCATAAAGCAGAGCATAAGAGACATCCCTCATGCTGTAGTTAGAACACAATATATTGGATAAATTTCTTGAAGTACTAATTTAATGGATACGTTGATGTTGCTGTGAGGTGGGTATGTCTACACTGTAAGTAGTTATCTCTAATTTTGAAAATTTTAGTCATTGAGCTACTATTCATTTGAGTTATTTACAGTATAGCTTATTTGGTTGTTATATAAACTTTGTGTCTTCTCAGCTAATGAACTAATTGTTCTTGGTCTTGCATATAAATTCAATTAGATATGCTTCCATATGGTTTGTTAAGTTACCTTAAAAACTTAATCTCACGAATATAACTTAACAGCTCCAGCAAGCACATAATTGCCCTCATATGTGGCAACAAAGAAAGTTTTATGCTGAATTCTCTGTATGAAATTTGTTTTCTCCTGATGGTGGCCTAGTTTTTTCTTTTCCCTTATTGAGACCAGTCTTCTGTTTCTTCTCTGAAATTGATTCCAGGAGTTCACTTCGGGCATAATGGATAGCTTGTCAGTGATACAATCAAGGGTGGTGGGTTTAGAACATGTTGTTTATGGATTATCTAAGGATCTTTTGCACGGGAATAGATACTCTGATCTGTCAAGCTCTAAATTCACGAAGCAGAACCAAAACTTGAATTCTCCTAGGCTTTCTACATGCACTCCTAGGCCATCTGTAGATATTCCCGGCCGACAGTCTTCGTTGTTGTCGCTTAAAAATTCTAGCATATGGGATGAAAATGTCGCTGTTAGAAGCCGATTAAGTAATGCTGCTAAACATGGAACTGATACTTGGAAAAAGGTCAATTCAGTTAAGAATCCTCCCGAGAAGGATCTTCAGAAGTATTGTAGAGAGGGTAGGCGAAATGGTAGCAGCCATCATCTGCGAAGTACTAATGCAGTGTTTTCTTCATCTCCCTGTGAAAATGTAAGACAATTTTCAGATGGCAAGAACAGCATTTCGAAACGTGTGTCGGGTTTTCTGTGTCAGGGGGATGTGGATGCTGCCTACATGGAAGCCTTGCGTTCTGGTGACGAAGTTGTTCTGTTTGAACTTCTTGATCAAACTGGACCTGTTCTTGAATGTTTGTCACCTAAAAATATCGGCAATATACTCCGTGTTTTGGCATCGTTCCTCCCTGAGCAAAGATTTATTCGTTGTATAATACCTTGGTTGCAGCAGGTAAATTTTCTCAAAACACTTCTATCCAAACTTGAGCTTTAGTTTTATATATTTGATTCGGAATGGTTAAGTATCATATTAATTTTCTTGCCCATGCGAGCAATTTTTCCACTTAGTGGAGTTTGGTAAATTAATTTATTATTTGTTACTGCACAGCTGGATGTTTGATACTAAAGAATTTAGTTATGGCGAGATTTTCAACTTTTCTGTGATTATGGGGCAGTTCCAGTCATTTCATTTTAATAATTTTTTAAACATGAGCTGGATTTATTATGAAATTCTAAAAATAGGATTGAATTCCTTTTTTTTTTTTTTTTTTTGTAGCTGTGACATATAGGATATTTTTGTTAGATTTCTTTAATAAGATAATACTCAAAGAAGCTGATGTGGAGGGTTCTTTATTAGGTAATATAGTGTAAAGGGGTGACTATTGGTACTCGGTATTTTTTTCCTCTTCATCAGTTCTTATTTGTTTGAAGTATTTTTTCCATTAGGAAACTGAATGACATGATCAAGGATTTTCGTTTCATAATTTTCTGAACTTCTAGATCTCGCCTAGTATTTTGTATGACGAATTTTTACCATTCGACATGAGAAGCATTGGGACTGATGCAAAAGTGAAGTGCATTATTGAATTAAAGGCCAAATTCTTTTGGAACATTTTGCTACTTTGAGTTATTTGAGATGTTCTTTTTGGATGATTCAGTATAGACTCTTATACAACTCTTGTTTGTTGTGGAGTTAAATTCTCATTCATTGGTTAGTTTGTCATGTACTTACTTTACAATAGGTAGTTGATTTGAGCACAACGCATGGAGCGAATTCTCTCGGTCTCTCGGTGAAAGAAAGACAAGAATTTGTACTTGCCATCCAAGAGGCTTCAAAAAGTGAATTTTCTAATCCTGCAGAAACAAGACTGGTCACTCAACTAGCAACAAAATTGTGCTATATATGGGGTAAATTTATTCATCACACTATGCACACTGTCTTCAATATGAAAATCGCTTGAAAAATCCTTAGTTGAAGTGAAGTACTTGATGACCTTTAAATCTTAAATATGACATTTACAAGAAAATTCAAACACATCTATACATTTTGTCAATTTTGTTTGCTGATTGTTATTGGGATAGGAATGATATCGTGGTAGTTTGAAATATAGAGTGAGGGGAGGAGAAGAAGGTAGGCAGTTGTCCAATGATTTAGGCTTAAGTGAGAATACTCAAACAAGGGAGGGTCCAAATACCTCAAATACTTGGGACTCGATGGAACAACTTTATCTTATATATTTCAATACTATTCTAGTACTTTTGGTTTCTATAACATCGGCTCGTCGTGGACCATGGTCCTACATACAGATTGTGTATGCTCCTGTGCTGAGTGCATTTTTGTAGTTAGTTATTCTGTAAGACTCTATCATGTACTTGAAAATCTTGTTCCTAACTTGGCTATGTGCTTAGTTTAATGTTGATTAATCTTGGGAAATATTTGTCTCTCGAGGATCTTATAATGTTTCCCATGTTACACCTGTAGAACACTTGAACAAGTAAAGATCTTCTCTGCTTCTTGCTTGGTTTTAGCTGAATATGATAACCTATGAATTATTACTTTCTCTGCAACTGATCTGCAAAAGATTCCAAACAAAAATGAATGTCTAGAACTTGTTTTAGCCTTCTTTAGCCCGCTCGATTCGTGCGTCGTCTGTGGAAATAATTTTGGTCAAGAATTGTTTGCTGAAAAATGTGATCTCTGTTTGAATAGGGCAATGCTCGTGAAGGCGGGCGGTAGATCTCGATGTTGCGGTATTGATCGAAGGATTTCGAGACTGGATTTTGAGAGTAAGTGTATGTTTCAATCCTAAGCACTTTTGTAGTTGAAGGGGGAGATATAGGAAGTTGGCACTCCAAAATTTATTTGCCTTTTTTTCTTCCTTTCATGATTTCTTATCTGTAAGTTGATTTTTAGGCTGTAGCTGAATTGGGATGCAACTTCTTAATTGGTCTTGAATCTTGATAGACTTTTTAGACATCCAGGGGAAGAAACTCTCCTTTTAGACCTTGTTGATAACCACTCTATTTAAAAGATTATATTAGTTTTCTACTGCANAAAAAAAAAAGTTTTTAAGGGTTCTTACATGTTTTTTGTTTTTTGTTTCTCATTTTCAATTTTTAGAACGATAAGCATTTGATAACTATTCATATTTTTCATTTATCATGTTAAAAGAAACATTTCCAAAATTGTGTAGAATTTTTGGAAATAACAAAATCAAGTTTCTTGTTCTTGTTTTCAATTTTTTTTCCCAAATATGGGTACAAGCATTATTTTATCATTTTTTTATTTTTAAACGTACAATAAATATGGCATAAAAATTTTGAATATTTAATTTGAAAAATTAAATTTCATATAAAATTTTTACTTTTTTTAATCTTACATTTTAGAGAACAAGAAAATAGGAAATGGTTATTAAACACGGTAAAAGAAAAAGAAAGATAAAGAAAGAAGAGAGAGTTATTCAACATTGTTTTTTTTATACTTTTAATTATTGTAAGTGGAAATGAAAAACAAGTAACAGGAAACAGGAAACAAGAAATAACAACATTAATATTAAGCATATGACAAAACAAAATACACATACATGGAAGTAATTGGTAACAAAGTTTTAAATATCGATGTAGATGAAAATGTCATGGTCTCAATATCATGGCAATGTCAATGAAAATGTCGATAAAATGTTGATGTCGAAAGATATTTCTAAAAAGGTTATAAAAATAAAAAGTTTGTAAAAACTATATAAATTAACAAATAAGCATTTTGTCATTTCTAAATAAGTTAAAAATAATTGATATTGATATTAAATTTATATTAGCGATATTTTGTTGATATTTTTCATATTTTGTTAGGTGTATATATATATTATAAAAATGTCGATTAATCCCTCGTGTCGATGTTGAATGCATTGATACGTAGAATTATCAATGAAAATATCGATACGTCGATGAATATTGAATACCATGGTCTTTTTAAGTGATCAAGAAAATGCCGTTAATGTCTGGCCATGGAAATGGCTTTAAACTTGCTGGGTATGATGAAGAAGCCAAATTGGAATACACAGTAAGAATATTCTTAACCTTTTTGAACAGTATATTTTGAGATTTAAAGAGGTCATTTATCCATGCCTATGGATGCCAAAATCAACCCAAACCATATATAATGTTGGTTAAATTAAAAAATTTTAAGATTTTGTATATTTAGTTCGTGGACTTCTAAAAATATTAGTGTGACATTGATTATACTAACGAGTAATGATTTGACATGAACCTATAAATGATATATAAGTATGCAATTTTGGATAAAATAAAGATGGGCGGATAAAAATATTTTTGTTTGGTTTTTACTTTATTCAATCAACTTACTTTTTCATGACATACCGTTAGTGCCACTAGACACGTTTCCTTCCATTTGGGTTACAACTCCTTTAACATGCCCCCTCAAGATCATGGTTCTTTTGGCTCATCAATCTTGGTCGGATCTCATTTTTGGACCGGTTACTCGTTTGAGCGTTTTGAGCTCTAATACCATATTAATATTTATGGAGTTTCATCCCAAAACTAATTGGTAATGAGAGGAGTAGCCCATGTTTATTATAAATGATTTTAAGGCAAAAGACGTTTTTCTCATCTTTTATCAGTTAAAGTGTTTTCATAAGTTAAAACTTTATTTGGTCAATTAATGTTTTAATCAAGCATCAATACTGAAAGGGTTGATACATTTTCACAACTTTGATGGACATAAAGATTTCGCTCGGGTAGCCTAGACATAGGACCTCGACCTAAGGTTATGGTTGATTTTTATTAAATTAAGGTTTTTTTTTTCTAATAGACATATTAGGAATGATTTTATACCTTCAAAATTACTCAGACATAAGAAGATGGCGGAGTAAAACCGAAGAAAATTTATGAGAGGCGTTTGGCGCCTATGGTAAAAAATGGTTGTATTTTTAGCTAACTCGAATTAATTGGACTGAGTTTATTGCATTGAGTCTTTAAATATTAAAATCAATATTATCCTTATTATTTGTTACCCTAAAATTAATTACAAAGTCACCGATTAACATCATTTCCCTTAAAAAGGCTTCATTTGTCCCTGAGGATCGATACTCGGAATACTCGTTCCATTTTACTATTTGTGATGAGTGTACACTTGCGCTCTATCATTTATTGTCATTCCAAAATCCCAAACAATTATTTTATGGTTTGATTGGACAATGATTTTATTTTTAGTTTTTTGTTCTTAAAAAAATTATGCTTACTTTCTTAGAATTTCTTTGTTAGGGATACAGGTGCCTCCCACCTCGTGAGCAGCCCGTCTTTACCTGCCAGGCCTACCATACTTCGTGCTTGCAGCATTTTTTCAGATGGTCTTTGCCAGTAGTGCCATCCTCCCCTCTGGCTGCAAGTAAAAAAATTCCAATAGTTCTCGTTTCCTTCTTGTTCATCAATCGAAAATCAAGATAAATTGAACACTACAGCGAGACGTGAAAATACCCAATCTCATTCCGACTTCAATATGTGGAATCGTCTTGCGCCATATGTACTAAGAGTGTTCGGGAGACATGGTCCAATTGAAGAAGACCAAAATCTCAATTGAGAAAAGCTTCTTCAAGACCTTTTTATGATCTTCTAGAGGGCATTTACTCCACCTCAAATAAGACGTAAATCGAATTTCGAATTCTATCTTGTAAGACGAACTCAATGACTTATACAATTCATATACGCAAGCATGACGAATTCTAAAGTTAAGTTTCAAAAACAAACTTTTTTTGTGAAAAATAATTTTTTAGTTTTAAAAAATTTGCTTGAATTTTGATATCATTTTCCAAAAGTAAATAAGAAAACAAAAAAACACATGGATAAATGTAGTATTTATTAAATTAGAAACAAAATAGTTATTAAATGAAGTTTGAGTGTCTAAGTTTCCTCCCTAGTAAAAAATTGAGAGGACATCCTCGTAATTTTCTTTAATCATTCCATCATTGCACTTACAAAGGTGTTCTAAGTATGAAATGTCCTTTTACTCCTAGAGAGTCAATAATTTTGAATTCTCATCCCATGTTTATAACGTGATATTTAAACAAAACAAACAAAAAAGTCTGCAATTTTATTTATAAAAATAAAAATAAGATCAAATTACAAAATTTGGTCTATAACTTTCAAAATCATGTCTATTTAATTCTTCTATTTTAAAAAATTTCTAATAGATTCTCGATCGTTCAATTTTTTGTTTTTGCACCACTAACTACTGTTCATTTGCACCACTAAACACTTAAACATTCTGAAATCAACATGTCATATAATCATATTAGACAAATAATATAGTCATCAGGGCATGTAAATATCGAATTATATTAGACACAAATTGAAAGATCAATGACTTAAATTTTTTTTTAAAGTACAAAGACCAAATAGATACGACTTTGAAAGTTCGAGGACCTACTAGAAATTAAGTACATATACTAAATAGACACAACCCTTAAAGTTAGGTATCAAATTTATAATTTAACTTAAAAATAAGATTAAAAATACTATTAGTCCCTCCCTGAATTTCAGTTTGTAATGGGATCTACTTACCGTACTTTCAAATCGGTAACAATTTAGTCCTTGAACTTTGGTATATAACAATTTAGTCCCTATAGTTTAAAGTTTGTAATGCTTTAGTCTCTACCATAAATTTTTCTATGAAGTTTTTTATATATGTACATCAATAAATTGATGAAAGACCAAATGTATTTGTAAATTACAAAAACTAAATCATTGTACGATAAAAAATTGAGACTTAATTTTGTTGAGATTTTTTACAATAGGGACTATAGATTGTTATAAATTTTAAATAATAAAGACTAAATTCTTACCTACTAAAACCTTGCTAAGTATTATTTTTAAAATTCATCATGTTTGAAAATAAATCAAAAACTTTTTTTAAAACGTCTGATTGCTTAAAAATTCATTTTCTAATAAATATTTGAAAAATGATTAGTTAAGAAATTCTTTTAAAGGGATTGATATTAAACACTCCAGAGATGATTATTCATTACAAAAAATGTAAAAAAGGTGATTAAATTAAAAGATGTTCCAAACTCACCATAAGATTATTATATTTTGGCTACGTAGATTTAATTGTTTTGTTTTTAGGTTTTTGTTTTTAAAAGTTAAGCCTTTTTTCACGGTTTCTCTATTTTTTTGCCCAATTCTAATTTCTAAAAGCAAAATATCTCTAGTGCTAAAAAAAGTAAAATATTTCTAAAAGTTAGACACCAAAGAAAAAAAATACATGGATGGAAATAGTATCGATAAAATAAAAACTTAAAAACAAAATGATTATTAAACTTGGTATAATTTTTTTAGTTTTTAAAACTTCACTTAGATTTGAAAATGTTTATAAAATAAATTAAATAACTAAATAAAGATACATGAAAATAAAAAAACAAAATTGTTATACAATAGATGTCCTTTTTTTAGTTTTTTGAATTTTTAAAATGTCTATTTTTCCAAGAATAATGTTTGGAAAATAGATGGTCATCCGACGTGTAGTTGGACGTATGAGGTATATTCATGGGAAGGTACCATTCTCTTTTAAAGTTTGTTTTTTTAAAAATAGATTTCTTGGTTTGTTTTAAGTTTTTTTTAGATTTTTTTATAGTTAAATTTGATTTGATTTTTGTTTTTATAAAATATTAAAAAAATCTTAAGAGTGGCACGTACAAAACCTAGACAACTTGTGGATTTAAAAACAAAAAAGAACAAATCAAGAGACGATCCCCTATTTTACAAGGGAAAAAAATCTAAAATCTAATCACTATAGCTGCAGCTCTAGGTCCTCTCTTCAAAAGACGACCGCTTGTTTTCCAAGCATTATTCTTATTTGGAAATAGTTTGGTGGATGAAATATTTTTGAAATAAGTTTAACATAATAGGCAATATTATAAAGAAAAAATCCTTTTGGTCCATATCTTCAAAACTTTTAACACAAATTCTACACGTAACGAAATCTCTTTAATATAAATTCATAATTACATCTCAATAAATATAGTAAGTGTAAATGTTAAAATTGTGATAGAAAAAAATGAGATTAAAAATAAAAATTAAGAGACTAAAATAGTCGCTTCGTAAAAATACAGATACTAAAATGAACATTTTATGAAATTACATGATAAATTAAAATAAATCAAATTTAGAATTACAGAAATTAAATCAAAATCAAAATTATATAAATTAAAATAATATTTTGACCAAAATTTAATCATTTATCAATTTACGTTACAGTTTTAATTTTGCATGAATATGTACAAAATCAATATTTTATTATATATATAGATCCCCGGTGTCCCCTATGTCGGAGAAGGAAGAGGGAGTAGGACAGGTCTGAACCGTACCGCTTATTTCCCCGCACGAGGAAAACGTGATTTTCGTGCCCTATCACTCATTCTGCATGAGTTTTTTTTTCTCTCTCTTTTTTTAAATTATTTATGTTTTTATTAAAAATTAATAATAATAATATATATATATATATATATTTTTTTTTTTTTAATTCCCACTTCAGATTCTCTTCCACTTCTTTGTTATCTTCCACTACTAAGTTTTTGTTACGTTTTTTATTTTGTCAATCTAACAGTCGCTCACATATGTTAAATATACGTCAAGAAGTAAACATTTTCATATACTCGTGCGACACAAGGACTATATGTCACACAGGAAGTGTATCGATATTTACATTTTACATAGTATCATAAATACTTTTTAAGTTATTTTTTTGAGTACGATACGTGAGGTGGAAGATTGAATTCACAAACTCTTGGTTGGAGATATATATTAATTATCGTTCAGCTATACTCGCTTTGACTTTTTAAGTTATTTTATTAAAATGGTGAATGTTTATTATTTTTATAACTTTTTTACGATAGATATTTCTAAACAAGTTGAGATTTTAACATTTCCATCAACGTCGATATTGAAAACATTGGTCAGATAGATAAGTTTTTAATGGGTGATTTATAGAGAAATTGTTTTTAATAGGTTTTTTATTTTGAAATTTTAAAATGTCCTATTTCACCCCATTTTGCCAAAAAAAATTTGAGAAATTTTTTTTTTTCACCCTAAAATATACGTTAGCTCCTCTCTCAATTTGTTTATCTCTAATTTTATTTCAGCATTTATATAATAACAAAAAATAAAAAATATATTATTAAATATATTTAAATCAAACTCATACTTCAATTTAACTTAAATGTAATATAGAAGATACTAAGAAAAGTTGCATTTATCCTATATTTGAAGAAAATGAAAATTTATGATATTTTTCAAAATACATCAATTTATGCCAGGGAGTGAAATTCTTTAATTTTTATTTGGTTTCTTTCTAACTTTTTTCTTTCTCTAAATTTTTTTATCAAACTTTTTTTCTCTCTAAAATTTTTGCTCTCCTCTTTTTTAACTTTTTTTTTCTCTCCAAAATTTATTTTCCACTCTAAAACTTTCTTCTCTCTTAGTTTTTTCTCTGTAAGAATTTTTAACTCTTTCTCTAACTTTTATTCATGTATTGTCTCTCTAATTTTTTCTCTCTTTTATCTTTTTTTCCCCCTCTTTTCATAGCTTTTTTTTCTTCTCAACCCTAAAAATCATATCCATCTATAAATTTTAAAAATAATCGTTTTGGTCTTTAAATATTATTTTGTCACTTAATATTCGTTTACCCAACCATTAACCTTCCAATCTATGTAGTTTCAATACAAGATCAAATCTACGTTACTTTTTTTTTTTTTTGGAGTTAGTAAATCAATAAGTTCCTACCCATATACTTTGAAACTACACAATCAAATTATTAAAAGAAAAATAAATGTAAAAATCAAAACAGTTATATTTTTTAAATTTCTTACTAAAATAGATATTTTAAAAATAATATAAAATAAACTTGAAAATTGATCGAAAAAGACGGATCAAATTTAAAATTTTATGGACTAAAATGTGACTAGAACCAATATTATATTATATTTATGGAGTTCTGCATCGAGCATGTTTAAAACGTGGTCGTATTAGCTCATCAGAAGACGACACAAAACCTAATGAAAAAAACAGAAAGAAAATCTGATCTGCAGAAATTATCGTTATCATGGCACCACACACTAAAATAATATTAATAATAATAACTTTTTCCTTCTTTGTATTTTTTTTTTCAAATCCAACTCATTTATTTGATTTTTTTAGACAAATTCATTTATTTGATTAACCTTCATATCTATTGAAATTATTGATGTTTACTTTTTTTTAAAATAATTTTTACTCAAATTTAATTACTAGATTTATTATATAAAAGGCATTTATGTTTAAATTTTATTTTAATTCCTGCACTTACGAAATTATTATATTTTAGTCTCTTGAGTTTTAAAAATATTTATTTTAGTTTTTGAAAATTTTGGAATCGAAATGGTGGGTCTTTTTTTATGTTCATAAATTGAAAATAGATATTTTAGTTCAGGGAGCAAAACAGTTCTATTTTTTAATTTAAGGATTAAAATAAATATTTTAAAATTTTTAAAATCTGTTATAAACCTGGAAGTTTTAGAGATTAAAATAAAATAAGTCAGAAAAGTTTCAATAAACAAAGTGAAATTTAAATTTAAGAAAAAAAAAACTTTCCTTTTATTTTTAAGCAAAATAACCAAAAACAAAAGAAAACCTGCGGGTACATATTTAGGTCTCTCGCATATAAGAGAGCTTATGATAAATGTAAATGATAAATTACTTGAAAAAACATCTCATTAATTATTAGACAGTGTAAGTTGATTAAAAAAAATTATTAGAAAGTGTAACTATCACACTATTTAAAAAATTTAAGAAATATATATATAAAACTTTTTAAAGTTTATAAATGGATTGTTTAAAATAATATTTTGTCCATTTTATTTTAGGATGCAATGAAAATGTCGATTTATCTCTCACATAGATGTTGAACTCATGGATATATGAAAATGTACGTCAATGAAAAATTAACAAGGTAATTTATAAAACTACACTAGAAAATGTTTTAAAAAAACATCTATATAAATATTTATTTTTTCTAAAAGGTTGATGACTACTTTGAAAACAATTTTTTTTTTAATCTTATAGATTCAAACTAATATATAATTTATAGAAATGAATACCAAACCAAAAGTATTCCTAATTAAAAATTGCACCTATGCTATCTTCACACTCAAAAGAACTTAAAAAGAAGTTCTAGGATTTTTTCGTAGCATTCTCTCCCCACACCATTTGAATGTATTCTTTAAAATATTTTTTTGTTAAAATACCATTTTGGTCATATATTCGAAGATTTATTTTATTTTAGCTTTTATACTTAAAAATACCTATCTAAATTTAGTCCGTGTACTTTTACTAAATTGTAAAATTAGTCTTTCACCGTGAGTTGGAATAAGTATTAAACAAAAAGAAAAATAAATAAATAAATAAAGCTCCTACCAACTTTCTTTCCACTAATTTGGAAAATATATTCACATTGTATCTTTATTTAATGAAGGTTGTATTATTATTATTTTTGGTCTAAGATGTAATTAGATTAATTTAATGAATGTCGCATGGTAGAAAGCTGTCTTTTAATTTAATTTAGTACTAATAAGTCATTAATATTTAGTAAACTGGGGGTATGAGTTAACTAGAGGTAGTGCTTAAGGGGTGTTAATTATAAGGACGTTGGAATATATATATGTTTTTTAAATCTCTTTTGTGAGTGTTACGTGTATGTAGAATTAGTGGATGAGTTTTTACTCATTATTTTTAATTAATAAAATGATAATTTATGTATTATAAAAAAAATCAAGGTTAAATTTGTCTAAAAATATTCTCTTCCACGTCTGTATCTTTTAATATATATTATAGATATAGATATTAAAAGTAATTCGGAAAGATATGTATTTATTTTCCATTGTAATTTTATTTATTTCTTCTAACATCTTTAAATTAGGTTAATGTTTAACGAATAATTAAAAATTATACATGAATAATTAAATATAAAATACAAAATATAATAAAAACACTAAAATACTGCTTCTATAATTTATATATATATTTGGTTTTCCTTTAAGATGGTATTAAGGTGGAAAAATATTTGGATCGTTAACAGTTAGAACTAAATTTGTCCTTACAACCATTGAAAAGGTTAAGAATCCTTAACTTTTATAAAAAATATCTATTATTGTATTTATCTCTCTTAATTGTCAAATAATGGGTAAAATATTCCCGCTGTCTTACGTAGTAAATCAAGTTTTAACTATAACCAGTCATGTTATTTTAAGATTTTTTTTTCCTCTATCTTATGCTCTTTATATTTTCCAGAAAACCATTGTCTTGGTTCGGCAGGCGCAGAAGAAGGAAGGTGAAGAATGGAGCATTTTCTGGTCTCTCTGTTGATATTTTTCGTGTCCGTTGTCTGCGTGGGCCTCTTCATCCTGTTCTACAAGCACAAATCCCCGTTCTCGTATCCAAACATTCCTCCCGGCGGCATCGGATTTCCGATCATCGGCGAGAGCCTGGAGTTCTTCTCCACCGGATGGAAAGGCGAGCCGGAGAAGTTCATCTTCGACCGCATCAACAAGTACAAGTCCCACATCTTCAAGACCTCCATCGTCGGCGCTCCGGCCGCCGTCTTCTGCGGCCCCACCTGCAACAAGTTCCTCTTCTCCAACGAGAACAAGCTCGTCACCGCCTGGTGGCCCGACTCCGTCAACAAAATCTTCCCCTCTTCCACCCAGACCAGCTCCATGGAGGAGGCCAAGAAACTCAAGAAGCTCCTCCCCCAGTTCCTTAAGCCCGAGGCTCTCCACCGTTACATCGGAATCATGGATGCCCTCGCCCACCGCCACTTCGCTTCCTCCTGGGAGAACAAGGACCAAGTCCTCGTCTTCCCCCTCGCCAAGAGGTAACCACTTTGACACCATGTTTAGGATCAATAAATCACTTCTCAATAATTCAAAAGCTTAAGCGGATAGGTTCGACAAGTTTAATTCTCCATTTACAGCTTCACCTTCTCGTTGGCGTGCCGGCTGTTCGTGAGCGTGGAGGACGAAGCGCACGTGGAGAGGCTATCGGGGCCGTTTCAGCACATTGCGGCGGGGATCATATCGATGCCGATAGATTTTCCAGGAACGCCGTTCAATCGAGGAATCAAGGCGTCGAACTTCATCCGGAAGGAACTCCTGTCGATCGTGAAGCAGAGGAAAGTGGATCTGGCGGAAGGGAAGGCGTCGCCCACGCAGGACATTCTGTCTCACATGCTTCTCACGTGCGATGAGAACGGAGCGTACATGAACGAATTGGACATCGCCGATAAGATTCTCGGCCTCTTGATCGGCGGCCACGACACCGCCAGCGCCGCCTGCACCTTCATCGTCAAGTTCCTCGCTGAGCTTCCCCACATCTACGACGGCGTTTACAAAGGTCAGCCACCTTTCATTTCTTTTTCACACATAAACCCCATTTAATTCCCTTCTAATATTAAACAAAAACTTCAAAACTTTCCAAAAAAATTAAATTGGTAATCTATCTTAATAGATTCAAACTCACTAAATTTTTTGTCAAAGTAAACATAGTTGGTTAAAAAACAAAAAATTGACTACCTTTTAGTGGTAGATTAATAAGGGGTAGTATATTCGAACTTATCTATTTGTTAAAAATTAAAACCAAAGGTAAGAATCTCTAATTTTTTAAAATATACATTCTAAAACTTTTAAGAATCGGAATAAAACAAGTTTAAGAATAGAGGGGTAAGATAACGTTTTAGTATTTTTTCTCTTTTCCCCAAATATTTCATTTTTCCTTTAATGTTTCTCTACCCCATTTAATTTACTTTTTTCTCTTTCACATGAATTTCTACCATAATTTTAAAGTTTCTAGTAAGAAAAGGTGAAAATGTTGACATTTTACCAAAGAGACAAAAGAGGAATAGTGGCTACTGTGGAAGGACAACCAATCGAAACAATAGGGAAAATTAATTTTGTGTAAATTTTGAAATGATAAAATTTAGGTGCTCGCTGATAAGTAGGTATCTTTCTACTTAATATTATTAAAAAATTAACAACTCTTTATTTTTTTTTCTTTCAATCTCTTTATACATTCATTTATAATGCCAGTAGATCTAAGAAGTTAAAAGAGGGAATTTTGAAAGAGATGGGGAAGAGAGAGGAGAGAGAATAAAAACCAACCATTGGTCCTTATGAAAATGATAAATGGTAATACACGATTTAAGGTAAATCGCGATATGTCTATACGATTTATGTAAATTGTGTTGTTTTCACCTTTTAATTACCTATTTTTGGAATTAGTTTTAAAACTACCTTATTTTTCTTAAAAAATATATTATTTATGAATTTTTTTTTCTAAAAAGACAAAGTTGAATATTGATATAATATCAGTTTGTTTGCTTTATTATCGAGTTTTTCTTTTTGGAAGAATAATATTTAAGTACTTCTTTATACCGACCACATTCAAAATTTTATTTATTCGAACTAAAATTATTCTACCCAAACAAAGAGTTTAATCTCCCAATTGATTAGCTAATTAATTTTCTTTTTTTTTTTTAAATTTAATTTTGAATAGAGCAAATGGCAATAGCAAAGGCGAAAGCCCCAGGGGAGCTATTGAACTGGGAAGACATACAGAAAATGAAGTATTCATGGAACGTGGCTTGTGAAGTGCTGAGACTTGCTTCCCCACTCCAAGGGGCCTTTAGAGAAGCCATAAACGACTTCGTTTTCAATGGCTTCTATATTCCCAAGGGTTGGAAGGTAATTTCACTCCTACACATCGTCGTACCTTTTTATTATTTTTTATTTTTTAATACAACATGTGGGGTGGGGATTCGAATTCACAATCTTTTAGTTGGAGATATGTATCAATTATATGATACAACTGAGCTATACTTGCTTTGACAATACATTATTGACCTCGGTACATATTTCAACGTCTTAATTGTTTATCTTAGGACGTAGGTTTGAATAACTGCTCAAAAGTTAAAAGCTAGATATTTTTTTAAAGAGGAACATATTTTTGTATTTTATCTTTTTTATGCATTATACTTTTTCAAATATAAAAATTTAGGAGGGAGAGAAATTATGGAGAAAATTTGACACTCTACCCTTCATATATCAATTTTTTTATTTCAGGAAGAACCAAAAAAATGGGCAATTACGTTTATGTCTCCCCAGTATTTGTGATGTGATATTGAAATTAATTAATACTAAAGTAAATTATAATCTTATTTTATTCCGGTTATTTGGAGCTAGATGTGATGTGAAACTCTGAATTATGTGTTTGATCAAAGCAATGTCTAATTATGAATTTTTCTATTTATTTTTAGAAAAAGGAAGTAAACTTTTCGATTGTTGCGTTTTGGGTTGCACGAAATTTAAGCTGCTACACGAATTTTGTTAGATTAAGAGCATTTTAAATTTATTTATTTTTTTGAATTAAAAGATTGTTTGCCCGAGAATTCGAACCATCTTAATCAGTTGAGCTAGGACGGTTTGTAATCATTTAAAAAAAAAATACCATTTTGATGATTGCAGTTATATTGGAGTTCAAACTCTACACACAAAAACGCAGATTACTTCCCCGACCCTTATACATTCGATCCATCAAGATTTGAGGGCAACGGTCCAGCGCCCTACACTTTCGTGCCCTTCGGCGGAGGCCCGAGAATGTGCCCTGGAAAAGAGTATGCCAGGCTCGAGATCCTCGTGTTCATGCACAACTTGGTCAAGAGATTCAAATGGGCGAAGATACTCGAGAAAGAGAAGATCGTCGTCGACCCGATGCCAATTCCTCAGAAAGGCCTCCCCGTTCGCCTTTTTCCTCATAAAACTGTCTCTGCTTAGCTCCTATTTCTGTTGCCTAATTGGTGTTGTAAGACTATGAATAATTGATATATCCTTCTTACTTATTCCCCTTCCACTTTGAGTTGATGTCTATTGGATGTATTTTATGGATCATTTGTATAAAATATTAGAGTTGGTCAGATATTATTGCAGTTTGCAGCATAAAGAAAAAAGTCATCTTCATTCTCTGTTTTTGAATTGTAATTTTGTTTTTGAAATAAATTAAAAGGGTTTGAATGATTTTAGTACAGTTTTGAAGTTAAATAGTTTGATACCAAAGAGTACTATACTTGAATTTTTTTAGTACAATATGTTGGATGGAGATTCGAACTCGTGATCTTTTGGTCGAAGATAGACATTTTAATCAGTTGAGCTATATTCAAATTTGGCTAGCCCACTGAAATTTATGTATACTAAAACTTGATCTTTTGGTGTGCGATTTTATTTGATTTTTCCTCTCTTTCTATGTTCCTTTTATTAGTAAATTTTAATTTGAAGATAACTAATCGAAGAAAGATGTCATGTCCCCATCAAAATTTTGTTTTGATATGAATTAATACGATTCATGATTTAAGGCCTTAGTACACTTTTGAAGTTAATGTCATTCTTTTTTGGGTAAACTTTTGAAGTGAGCTTGAGTGACTTCTCTTTGGGAGGGTAAAACTTGCTTTTTGAGGCTTCGATACAAAGAAACAAGATATGTACTGTTGATGCAGAAATTTGGCTTCCGTAGATCTCTTCAAATTCACACCAATCTTCTAGAATTAAAGGGATCGATAAGACCTGCAAAACAGAAGAGTACTAAAGACCAATGCGACTCTTACCACATAGGCTATGATGGTTAAGTCAGAATCAAAGTAGTCGAGTATAGAGAGTAAGGTATTTTGGCGTAGCAAAGAGTAGAGATTTGTAGCATACCTCTAAGGTTTGGCTCACCCTCTTATTTATAGAAGTCGAATCTTAATCCTTTTAGGATTCACAAGAGTCGAATCCTAATCCCTTTAGGATTACAGAAGTCAAATCTTGATACATCTAGGAAATCTAGAGTTGGGCTCGTATGCTTCATTACGTGCTTAAGGTCAAATCGAGAGTCGAGACGGGATGGTTCAAGCTGGAATGTATAACGATCAGGATGAACTATTATAGTTCTCGGTCGGGGGGCCGAAAAGGTTTCGGCGTCGAGACCTGGTCGGCACAAACCACTGGTCGGCTGAGGGCTAGCTCGGGTCGCCGAGTATCGACCCTCCTTCTTAGTTCGTGCCTTCTCTCGGCTCTCCTTCGGCCTTCTTTCGCCTCGTTGGATCTCATTTATCTCTTTATAATAGTAGCCTCCACTCTCAAAATAGAAGGCAAAAAGCATGCTAAGGTTTCTATATTGAGAGTACTTACCGCTTGGTCACCCATGGACGACTATTCTTGTGGAATAGCAACCATACCCTATTGTCATTGTCGGTTGTCGTTTCATGGGCTGGCCTTCCTAGCACCCATACTTTTCTATTGTAGTTGGCTGCAATCAAGTCTCTTAGGGTCTACTATACAGTTAGTTTTAACCGTTAGATTTGGGCCTTAGGATCTAACTTTTGCCGATGATTTTATACCCTAGAATTTACTCTTGAGTTTCTAACATATTTGGCTTCCGCCAATGGTTTCATACCCTGAGTTTAGTCGGCACCCTTGGGTTTCTAACCTATTTGGCTTTTGTCGGTTTTTTACCTTAATTTTAATCAACACCCTTAGGTTTCTAACCTATTTTGGCTTTTCCCAAATGGTTTATAACCTGGGTTTCATTGATTGGTTTGACTTGCTTTTTTTTTTGTTTTAACCTTGCTGGGCCTGTACACATGCATTTTTCAGCACCTTTGGGATGTTGGGTGTGTTGTCCTAAACTCGTAGTTTGTATTCATCTAAAAACAAATTTATATTCAATAAAGTTTTATTCAGTCAATATGTTGTTAAATTCATAACAATGCATTTTCTAAATCCAATAAACTAAACATCCAAGGTTATTATCATGTAACTGAGATAGTATATATATTGGGTATATATTTGATATATCCTCGATATACAAGTGGATAATGTCCCGAGAATAACCTAAAGGGTCTATAGTATATGGATAAGGCTGGGTACCTTATCCTGGCAACACTATGGATACGACCTACTTTGTAAATGTTACAGACGACCTGATTTAGGTCGTTCGTGTGGAAACATGCGAGTAAGGATATCCTATACAATGAGTTTGTATAAGACCAGACCACGAAATAGCCGATCTTTAGGTGTAATGCTATTGACTACCAGATTGCTATTTCATAGGATGACCAGACAACTCATTCTCAATCCCGAGTGAGTTATGGACTCCTACCCGTGAGAGCTCATCCTTTGATCTGTATGGGTGAGAGTGACCCGAGTCGTCGACTCAATATTCCTACCATTTAGGGGACGAGACCGAGTGGAGAGTTGGGAACATAACTTCACAAGATGGAATTCACTCCTCCCCGACTTTAGAGGAGTAGATGAGTGCTGTCTTAAATGTTGACTTCGGGACTTGAACAACGGGCCCTACCCTCTAACTGGTTTGAGAGGGACTTCCATTTATTGGTCGGACCATAACCGGGTTGTTTATTAGAGGAGCAGTGGTATTTAAGGAGTAAGATGTAATACAAGGGGGTAAAACGGTAATTTGACCCATCTGTGGTTACGAAAACTTGTGAAGGATTGACTTGCCGCTAATGGTCGTATATCCGTGGACATGAAAACATTCTGCAGTGAGAAGAGTGCAGCGGTGGGTCTTTAGTGAAGTGACTTGTAGTTAACTAATGTTGATTAACTTGGTTAATAAGTTTGACTGATTAATTTCGTATCGTTAGAGCTTCTGATCTGTATGTCCATTAGATCTCATTACTAGCTCACAACGGGTAAAACTAGGATCAAGTCTTTAGAAATTTTTGAAAGGTTCAAATTACTCAAGAGATTATATATGTATGTTGATACATTATAATATATATAGTTAATTCTAATTAAAACTATATATTATGAGAGAAATTATTTGAATGAGATTAAAATAAAATTACTATGAATATGATTCATATTAAAACTATAGGTTAAAAATAATGTGCATATGATGTACATTACAATATAGGTCCTACGAGAGAAATGTTTTGAGGATATGATTCTATTTTGTAATAAATAATTAAGTGTTAATTATTTATTTAATTAATATATATTAATTATTATTAATATTAATATTAATTTAATTAAAATAAAATAAAACTCGCTTGCAAAATTGCAGGGGAGTGAGGAAGTTTAATGACGTGGGGTAACTCCCCACGTCATGTTGGTTTTGTTTTTGGTTGCAGAATTGTTCTGCTAAACAAAAACAGAACAGGAAATTCTTCTGCAAGCTGCTTTCAAGTTGAAAATCTCTCCCCCTCAAATTCCCCTTGGACTTGCAATCGTTGCTCCCATAAGCAAAAGTCCTCACCAGAGACATAGCAAGAAAGATCATTTTGTGGTGTCAATTGGGTTTATTGAAGAACTGTTCATCAAAGGTAATACCCGATTCCCCTATATTTTCCTTTGGTTTTATGGTTTTGTTCCTCAAAATTCAAGAACAAAGATCGTGTTCCGCTGTGGGATTTCTATCCCATCATGGGATTCTCTTCCTCGGTTTCACTGACTTACTTATAGCTTATCGACCTGCTTCTAGGTCTGTCTCAATTCGAGTTCTTTGACCAACTGTTGATTAACTTACCCATGCACCCACTTGAGGAGTTTTCATTTAGAATAAAAGATAAATGCTCAAGTAAAAAACAATTAATTAGATTTCAGATGTTAGGAGCTTATTTTAATCACAAACAAGTAAGTATCTTTAAAAACATAAAACTTTGACCTAATAAAAAATCAACATGCGGTTTATATAGAAAAGAAATAAATCTATGCAACTACCAAAAAATTAAAACTAAACTTGCATAATCATAAACAAACAAAATTTAAACAGTAAATCTATCATCATTCGAAGTAGAAACTCTGTATGTTGATTAGTTGCTTTTCTAGGTATTGTAGTAGTATTCCTATGATGCTCGTTATTCTTCTTTTTCCTATTAGGTTTTCATCCTACAGGTCCCCCTAATATCATCTTTATCTCCATGGCGAGAGACTTGTTATTTTGGTCGTTGCTTGGAGTCACCTTGGAATTTATAACAAATTCTTTGAGGTGGCCCTTGGGGATGAGATCCTTGACCTCTTCCTTGAGATCATAACATTTCTGTATTGAGTAACCATGATTCCGGTGGAAGAGGCAATATCTTTCTTTGGTTCCTTTGTGAGATGGCACTTCCACATTTTCAGGCCATCTGAGTGGTTTCTAGTCTTTAATCTTCATCAGAATTTGTTCGATTGAGACTATTGTTGGGGTATACTTCCTCAGAGGATCGCGTTGACCTGATCGGTCTTGTGTTCTGTCAAAATCTTGCTTTGAATGGAGTAACTCTCCTGCGTTCATGTATTTCTGGGCTTAACTTAATGCTTCTGAGAAAGTTGTTAGGGTTCTTTTTCCAAAAGAGAATAACAGCGTCTCATCTTTTACACCAGATACGAAAGCGAGAAGCGATGTTCCATCAGTGAGATCTTTAACTAGTAATTTTTTCTTGTTGAAGCGAGCCATGTATTCTTTGAGACTCTTCGTCGATCCCTGTTTTATCGTAAGGAGGCAGGTGATAGGTTGACCCCTATTACGTCCTCCAATGAATTGAGGGACAAATGCCGTGACCAATTCTTTGAATGAGAGAATTGACTTTCTCCTCAATTGTCGAAACCAGATGTAGGTCATGCCAATTATTGTGAAAGAAAATACTCTGCATCTGATAGCCTCTGTCATCCCATAGAGGTCCATCAATTCTCTATATTTGTCCAGATGGTCAATGAGATCTGTTGATCCATCATATTGCTTGATAGCAGGGAGTTTGAACTTTGGAGGGATCTTTTCTCTCATTATTTCCTCCACGAATGACGAATCTGCTTGATCTATTGTCTTGTCAAGATCGTATCATCTGTCATTTCGTTTTTTACTAGATTTCTGCGATTTTTCTGCATACCCATGTCGGCTAAGTGATTTTTCTTCGTCCATGGTGTTCCCGAGGCTTGGTCGGACCTCCTATTTCCTTCCACTGCTGTGACTTTTCGTGCCAGTGGG